ATGCATCAAAAGAAGAATTATTAAAAAACAGTATTTTCAAAAGAAAATAAAAAGATAAAACAAAAAAGAACTAAAAAAGAAAAACAAAACAAAATGGAAGAGATAAAGATTCTTATTATTGGACAAGGAACATTTGGAACATATATCACTGAAAATATTATTAAACCATTAGGGTTCCATATTATTGATATTTTGAGAAGTAAAGACTTTAATAAAATCAATTATTATGCGACACATCAAGAATTATATAATCGTGTATATATTGCTCTTCCATATGAACTTCATAATCCTGTTATTCGTATGTTTCCACCAAATACACCAATTTTATGTGAAAAACCTATTTTAGGATATGACTTACTTCCAAATATTCGAATGGGATATCATAGATATTTTGACACTCATTTTATTAATGCTAAACTTACAATTCAAAAATTGTTGTTTGAAGGGAAAACTCCAAGAATTAGAATTGTTAGTAAAGATACTGGTGCATCTGATAATGACTCTTTAGAATGGTTGTATTGTGCTATGTGTCATGATCTTCATATGGCTGTCTTTTTATTAGATAATATTAAAGTAATTGATGTTAGAATAGGTAAAAATCCCTCAGAAATTTTTGTTGATTTAGAAGGAAGAAAATGTAAAGTAACAATAGAGTATGCTAGAGACTCATCTACTTATATACAAGAAGTTATTGTTGATAATATTGTATTTGGTTATGACTCTGAAGTATTTAGTGAAACATATGAAGAGACATATAAAAGAGAATTTTTTGAATTTGCTAACCATCCAAAACCAGATGATTTAATGCTTGACTTGCAAAAGAAAACTTCTGATCTTCTTTTATGTTGTGCTAAAATTATTTGCTCTAAAAATAAAAACGCATTGACTATTCATCTCAATAAGTATTCAGGTGAAAATTGGAACTCTGAAACTACTAAATCGTTACTTACTAATAATAAATTCGTTTTGCCTTTCGAACCAATTGAATTACAATAAAATAATTTATTTTTTATTTGTTATATATAACTTTTTTATTAAAAAAAATTAAAAATCTTAAAAAAAAATAACAAAAAACTGGAAAAATCATAATTTTTAGGATAAAAAACAAAATCAATGATTTTATTAATTTTAATCTTCGTTACACTACTAAATGCTATGAGATTACCAAAAGAAATTATCTTTCCAGCTCAACCACCAATTGGACTTCAAGTAACGTGGAATGGATGTAGAGAAGCTGAAGGATGTAATGTTCAAGAAAAACTGAGTCAATTAGTTCCTTATTTTAATACAGTCGCTGCATTCTTTAGACCAAAAATTGCTATTGGATTATTACCACAAGGGAAAAAAATGAAATCATTAGAAGATCCTGCACCAGAAACAGTTACTATTCCAGAAGAACCACCTGAAGGTTGTGGATTAACAATTAAAGCAGATGAATGTTCAACAGAAACTGGATGTAATGCACGACTAAGAAATATGGAAATAGGAAAATATTTTAATATTTTAGCATCACACTTCTCTCAATTTTCACCTGAATCAATTAAAGGACCACATGACACATCATTCCCTATGCCAGTTCAATCAGTGAATATTCCACAAAAAAAAATTAATCAAGCTAAATTAACAGCTCAACATAAAAATGATATTAGAAATATGTTAAATCAACAAAATAAACAAATTTATGATTCTCAAAAACCAATGTTAAATCAAATGTATCAAAATATGGCAAACCAACAAATGACTCAAGATGCTTATCACAATTATATTCAAAAAATTATGGGATTAGAACAACGTCGTCAATCAATGTTTTCTAATTACCTAAAAACAAGAAATAATTCCCCTCATTTTGAAGACATGTACAGTGAACCAACAAAAGCACCTTCTACTAATCAACCAGCAGACCATGAATTAGAAGTTTATGGTGGAAATTATTTTACTAATGATGGATATAAAATAATGAAAAAAAGACATTTAGAAAATTTAGGATTAAATGGATATGGAAAATCAGCTTTTACTCCTTCAATAACTGGTCCTTTAATTACAAAATAAAATTTATTTGTTTTCCTTCATATCTTTTTCTTTTGTTTTCTTTATTATAATTTTATTATTACTTATTTCTTAATAAATAAAATTTAATAAAAAAATAGTGTTAAACAATGGATTATTTCTAAGCATTTTCTTCACTTGGTTTTGTAACTGGAGCAACTGCTTGTTGTGAGTTTATTCTCTTTTTCTCCATCTCAACAAAATTTTCCATTTTAGCTTTAACTCCTTTTTCTTCTCCTCTTTTCCATTCATTTTCATCATAATTAGTTAGAATAGGTAGTGGATTACCGTTAGGTAATAACAACCCTTCAGTAAACAAATCTTTATGGAAATTATCAGTAATTAATTGAACTGCAGTTGGTCTCTTTTCTGGAGTATATTGCATTACTTTAATTAACATTAATACAGCTGTAAATGGTGGGTTCATGAAACGAAGAGCAGCTTCAATTCCAACACCACCAACATGTGGGACTCTTGTATATGGACTTTCATTGTTCATTGCTTTAACTTCATCCACAGTTGGAGACCCTAATATTTTCATAATACGAGTAATTTGATCTGAAGCACTTTCCCCTTGGAAGAATGGTTGACCAACTATCATTTCAGCAACAACACATCCAAATGACCAGACATCAACCGCAGTACTATATCTAGTAGCTCCAAAAATTAATTCTGGTGCTCTATAATAACGAGAACATATATAAGATATATTTGATTCATCAGGAGTTAATAATTTAGCACTTCCAAAGTCACATAATTTTAAATCACCAGTATCTCTATTAACCATTATATTTTGTGGTTTAATGTCTCTATGACACATTCCAAATGAATGAATATATCCAAGAGCCCTAGCTAATTCATATGAAAATAGTCTTGTATATCCAATAGGTAATCTTCTTCGATAATCATGCATTAATTGGTGTAAATTTTGTGGGAAATAATCCATTACAACATTTAAACATAAGTCTTCTGTCTATTTAAAGTAAATGTCATATTCATTTTTTCTCTTAAAAATTACTCCTTCTATTTAATCCTTCAATATAGGATAACGTGGAGACACAAATAATATTTAATAACAATAACAAACACATGAAACTTTACTATAGAAATAATTTTTTAATTCCAACACATTTTGATGCTTAAGCATTTCCATCATTTGCAATTCACGATTCTAAATAATTAATATTCTCATTCTTTTTTTTATAATATTGAAAATATTGCTTTAAGAAATGAGGGTCTAATAATTGATTTTATAAAAATAGAAAAATAACAAAATTTAATTTTTCTCTTTTCGGAATTGACAATAAAATTTTCCTTTTATATTCCAAAATGAGAAGACTTATCATTATTTGTCATTTCTCCAATGATTGAATCTCATTTTATTGTTATTCTGACATAATTATAACAAACTTTATATCTACGATCTTGAATTACTCTTTTAATTGCAACAACTTCGTTTGTATTTAAATCAACGGCAAATGCAACAATACCAAAAGCCCCACTACCAACAATTTTTGATATTCTATATTTTGTATCTTCATTCTCAAGAACTAATCCCTCTTGGTTCCCAAAAATTACTAATGGATTAACTTTTGAATGTCCTCGTTTAGACTGTTTGTCCATACCTTCAAATAGATCTATTAATTCCAGGGTTCCCTTGTTGCTCTTTATTTTATTCTTTTTTCTTTTTTTGACTTCTAATATTTTTTCAAACCTTTTTTTGAACCTCCTTTTAGTCTATTTTTGTGAAGTGATCTTGTTATTCTTTTTTTATTTCACTCAATAAATTATGAAATGTTATATATAACATTAAATAAATATGAGGGATTATGATTATTTAAAGGAGAAATAAAAGATCAAAGAGTATCATAAAATATGGGAGGTTGGTTTAGTAAATTATTTAGTACAAAAGAAATAAATATTACTATGGTTGGTCTAGATAATGCTGGTAAAACTACTATTTTATACCAATTAAGACTTGGAGAGACTGTTACAACAATACCAACAATTGGAGTCAATGTAGAGTCAATAAAAATAAACAATATTAATTTTTCAGTAATAGACCTTGGAGGTCAAAGTAAAATTCGACCTTTATGGAGACATTATTATGAAGGAACACAAGGAATTGTATTTGTAGTTGACTCTTCTGATAAAGAACGAATAGAAGAATCTGGTGATGTTTTAAGAAAAATGTGCAAAAACGAATTACTCAAAGATTGTGCTTTGTTAATTCTTGGTAATAAAAAAGATATTGAAGGGGCAGTTAATGAGGATGAACTAACAAAATTACTAAAACTTGAGATGGTTCAATTGAAGTATTTGGTTAAATCCGTTTCTGCAACAAATAATGAAGGGTTGACTGAAGCATTTATATGGCTTAGTGAGAATGTTTGTCATTAAGATGAGACATAATTCTTAATTAACTATTTTCATTTCAACCGTTCAGTTTTTAATAACAGAATTAATTAATTTATTGTTATTTAAAAATAAAATATATGAAAAAGTAAAAGAAAAAAATCTTAAATATAATTAATTTGAGATTGTATAATGTATCATACTTTGGAACGTATGTATAATATTAGTTATTTTGCTTTTCAATGGCTAGGTGTAGCAGTTTTCTTATTATATTTAACATCATTGATACTATATGTTCCTCCTATAACTTCAGTATCACATAATACAACGAATACTGTGTTTGTTTTAATATTTTATTATAATACTTCTGTTTCTTTTACTTTAAAATTAACACCTTAGTAAGGCATTTAAAAAGGGTTCTTATTCTGACTTTACAATAGATTTAGATGTTGACTTTACACCATCATTCAATTGGAACACAAAAATGATTTTTGTTTGGGTCAAAGCATCCTTTACAAATAATAATATTGTTTGTTTTTAAATCTTCACTTAAATAAACACTTTTGTTATTGATTAATAGCCATATAACACAGCAACTGTTTGGGACACTATGATCAAAAAGAAAGAAAAAGCACATTTACATTTAACAAATGAAAGAATTGAATATCCTTTAGTTAGTTCCCATAATAGTTTACTTGGAAAAGAAGTTGAGTTAACAGTTGAATGGATGGTTGTCCCATGGGCTGGTGCTACTACTGTTGAACATGGAAATTCTACTAAATTCGTACTTCCTACTGAATTTTCTAAATAATGCAGAAATGGTGATGAATTTTCATTTTTTGTTTTATATATTTCATTTATATATTTTTTTTGTTATTTTATATTTTCAACAAGGTAAGAATGTTGTTTTTGATTCTACACATTAAATCATAGAATAAATCTTTTGAACAAAATAACTACAAAGAGGTTTTAACGTATTGATTCTATCATTATTATTGAAATACGTTAGAATATAAAAGTTAATTTATTATTAAGTATATTAAGTATGCTACTAATGTTAATTCAATAACATAAAAATACAATGACATAACAAAAAGAATAAAAAAGAAATTAGTAAGGTTTAGTTTACGTTCTAAAGTTGTGAAAAATGATTTGGTTGATTCTAATAGTTAGAAGCAAATAATTTGTTATTTTAATAATTTTTGTTATTTTGTTTTTAGTTTGGGTAAAAAAAGAAAACAAAAAAAGAGAAGAGAAATAATCAGTTCTTAATATCAATGAGCGGAACACCAGTTGATAATGGAGATGAAATTATTATTTTCCAAAAGAAACATAAAACCCAAGAAAGTACTTCAACTGAGTCTATTGATTTGAATGAGGATACAAAAGAAGAAGATATGGATAGTGATGAACTTAAAGATATGGGATTATTTGATAGTGTTTTTGTTAATGTTCAAGGTAATAAAAAGATATATGGAGCACTTTGTTTATTTAAAGTTTGTTTCTTTTTAGAATATTATTATTCACTGATTATATCTTATTGTAGAAGAGTTATTTATTAAAATAATAGAAAAGGAAACAATTATTTATAAGTTATTTACCAATGGAAGTTCGTACAAATACATCATTAAAGAGTTTTATCACAAGAGATACTACTGTTACTAATATCCAAGATTACAAAATTACTTTTCCATTTAGAGAAATTATTGCTTTTAGTTATATCCAAACAAAAACAACAACTACAATCACATTTGAAATGCAACAACGATTAGTTCCATTAAAAGTACCTCAATATGAGTTTGGAGGAAAGAATCATAAAGAACAATACGAAAGTTTCTTTAATACAATCAGTCAAAACTCATTATGTGAAATCCAAAAAGATGAAACACATAAAAATAGATATATTGTAAGCTATAAATCCGAGTTAAAAGGTGATATTGCAAAATATCATCAAAAAGCATATTCACGTTTAATTAATCCTTTATTAGTTGAAAAAAGGAAAACATTAATTGCTCAAGAACATATTGACACAATGCAACCAGTTAGTAAAACTTTGTTAAAAACATTAATGGATGATAGTGGATATATTAGTAGTTCGAATATGAATGTTATAAGAAAAGTATTATTGTATAGGGGTTGTGATGATGATGTTAGAGAATTTGTATGGAAATTATGTTTAGGATATTATGAAGGTAAAAATACACAAAAGGAAAGAATGGAATGGGATGAAAAAAGGGCTAATGATTATGAAAAAATCAAACAAACATGGACTAATGTTATTCCAGAAATGAAAGAAAATTGGGATGAATTTGCTAAAATGGAAGAACAAATAAAAAAGGATGTAATTCGAACAGATAGGGAAGATACTAAATTTGAAAAAGATGGGTGTCAAAATTTAAAAACATTAACAAATGTATTAATGAGTAGTTCAATGTTTAATATGAAAATAGGATATGGACAAGGAATGAATGATATAGTTGCTGTATTAATGAGAATTACTACAAAAGAATCATCATTATTTTGGTTGTTTCAATCAGTTATGACTATGTTACAAGGATTTTATTGTTCTAATGCAAATTATTTATACAAATTGTTAAATAAATTAGACCCAATTATTTCTTTAGTAAATCCTGCATTAGGTAAATATTTAAAAGAACATGACAGTAATAATGTTTTTGCTTATAAATGGATTGTACTATTATTTAAACGATATATTTCAGATAATTATTTATTAAGAATATGGGATTCTATCTTTGCATTTCCTACTTCAAAATTCTATTATTTTCTTGTTGTTGCTTTAATTAAAGAATATGCAGATGACATCATTGATAATCAAATGGACTTTGATGATTTGTTTGTTCTCTTCCAAAGTCTTGGTCCAGAAATTGGTGTTGATATTATTTTTGACGCAGACTTAATCCTCCAAGAATTTATGCATATCTCACAGCCATCAGTGCTTACTGATTTTCTCAAGAATGAACCTATCCCAAAATGAATCAATTTTTTCTTCTCTTCATCTTCTTTTTTATTAAATTATAGTTAAAAATAAAGTTAAATTTTATTATTATTCATTGAGGAATTTAAAGAAAGCTATTCATTAAAAGTATCTCAAAAAATTTAGATTAAATGAACTTCTTTACTACTGGAGGAGGAAAGGCACTTCCTAAACTAACTGAGTCTGAATTACTTGAATCAAAAAAGAAAATTTTTACACAAAGTCAATATGAAGATGAAGAATCTAATAAAAACATGGAAGAAGAACCTTCTGTAATTGACAAAGAAAAAGACCAATCATTGACAATGAGTAATATCTCCCCAACAAAACCAATTGAAACTCAAGCAACACAATTATCACAAGACACAATAACTATTATTATTAAAGAAATGGATGAAAATGAAAAAAAAGAAAATAAAAGCATTTTAAAAGGAAGTAAGAGACAATCAATTTTACATCAACAACCAATTAAATATCCAACTCCACTTAAAAGAAAAGCAATTACACCATTATTAGAAAGTAAAAGAAGGTTTCTTGTACCACATAAATCTATTCTTAAAACAACTTCTGTAGAAGTAAAACCAATTCCTCAAAGTTCTTTTGATCAAGTTAGTTTTCTTTCAAAATATTTAGACACATTTAAAGAAGATATTAATGAGGAAATTTCGTGTCCAATACCTTCATATGAAAATGCATTACAAATACCAATTATTGATGACCGTAAGAAAGAAAGAAAAAAAGTAACATTAAGTCTTGAACAGTGGAAAGGAATAATTCTTAAATATGAAAATGAAAAATGGTTAAAGACACATCTTCAACATGTTATATGGAAACAAAGTGGGTATTATTTTCATAATCGAAATATAGAATTTGAAATAACAGTAAATGGAATTAAAAAAGAAATTGAACAACGATGGATATTTGAAAGAAAACCAAAACGATCATTTTATAGACAAATTTATAATAAAGATGAAAATTGTGGATATTGTCATATTGGAGTAGTTGCAAATATTAATTCAAAAGAATTAACAAAGGAATATCCATTACTTTTAATGAGTGATGGATGGTATACAATTCAAATACAAATTGATCAAGGAATAAATGAATTAATAAAACAAAAAAAAATATATATTGGACAAAAATTAAGAATTTGTTGTTTAGAAAAAACTGAAGATTGGAATGAACGAGAACCTTGGGAAGGAAAAGAATTAATATTTAAAACAAATATTAATTGTATTAGAAGAGGAGAAAGAAATGAAAAACTTGGAAGAAC